AAAGAATAAAATAATTATAGTAGATTAAAAAATTAATCTAAAAAACCACGTTTTTCAAGTAAGACTAAAAAGCACAAAAAAATTTAGTAGATTAAAAAATTAATCTAAAAAACCACATTTTCAAAAAGCAAAAAATAACCTTAAACGTGGTGCCCATGGAGATTGTTGGGAAGAAGTGAAATACAAATGAAATAGATGCGCACCACGTTTAAGGTTATTTTTTGCTTTTTGAAAACGTGGTATTTTAGATTAATTTTTTAATCTACTAAATTTTTCTAGCATTTTAACTGTACTAATTCATGTAAGGCAGGGCCAAACACAAATTATAGCATAAGTATTGTGCTAAGTATTATAGTATATGCCAGTTATTTGCAGCCAAGAATATTTATTTTCCTGGTACTTTATTTTAAAGGTATTTTTCTAAATTAGTTATTTTTGTGAAGTCAGAAAAAAAAACAAAGCGCAGAAAAGAAATTAATTGTGACCCTCAATAAATCAGATAATTTTCTAACATGAACGCAAGCTTCACCTGGTGGATGTGCTTCGCAGCAGAGATTTTTTCTTTATGTTTTTACACAAGATGTCTCTAAAACAAATAGTATCACAATTCGATCTTCTTTTTTTCCTGAATAATTGTTTTTGAAACTAAGAATAAGTGATTCTCTCAACTAAATAGGCCTGAAAGGCGTGGGAAAAACGTGCAGTTCATTAGTTAATTGATGGAAAAAATGACCCTCAGCTGGGATTTCCTTACTTCTACTTGGACCACTTATAGTCAATTCATCTTGACGGGAAGCCTGTTCATGTACTGTATAGTGGATTTAGGGTTATCAGGGATTATTTTCTGTTCTTCTTGAAACCTATTCATTTCTAATTGCGATGTCCACGCATTGATCCCATTTTTTTTAATGATGATGGCTGATTGACAAAATGAATCCCTCGCACTAATCTCCCGAGTTTTTCATTTTTTAAATGTACTGTATATATTAATTATATTTTTCCCACACAGCTCGAGTGACGGAATTGGGTCTCAGTCCGTTGACAGACGTCCTAAAGGAACTCGGCGGTTGGCCAGCAGTTGCAGGCGATGCCTGGAAAGAAGACCAGTTCTCATGGACTGAAATTGTGTACAAATTCCGCACGATGGGTTTCAGCGTCGACTACTTTTTCGACTTTTCAATCGTCAACGATTTGAAGAACTCCACCTGGCGCATCATCGATGTGAGAAATGCTCAACTTCTTGGATATCTCGAAAACCCCAATTTGTATATTCATTTTTCTAGTTAGTATTAGTTGTATATTTGATCCTTTTTAAGCATTTCGAGTGACCAGCAAAAAAATTTTGACTTGAGAACAAGTAAGGGAAATTATAATTTTTTCCAAAAAAATGTAGATTCCAATAGTTAAAATTGGCAATACTTCTGATCCAAAAGAGCTTTTCGAAGGAGTTGACAGGATTCTGAATTTGCTAAAAGCAAGAGCTAGTTTCCCGGATTAGTTCCTTTCAAAAAGCATTGAAGGTACATTTTACGGCTTCTCTTTTGCTTGGGTCCAAAAAATAATAGACCCAGAACCTCCAGAAAATTCGAGTTGAAGAGAGGTTTAAGAGATGGTTGTTTTTCTAAGGGAATTCAGACAGGGACTTGACAAAAATTCAAAATTTGGAAATTTTTGACTGAGAAGAATTTGAGTTCTTGAGGTTCAGCTTTATTTGGAAATAGGATTACTTTATATGGCTTATTCAATGACTCATCAGGTATAATGCTGTACTTGTACTAGGATTTTTTTCTGAAACTGCACACATGGCGATTGATCAGTGAAAAACAAGGTGGAAAAAATCATCGTACAATATTTACAGAAGACAGAACTTTTTTTTAAATTATTTAAAGGCGATTAAAAACAATAAATTAAACCATGCGGTGATAAATTAATTTTAAAAAAACAATAAATTAATTAATCGAATGAATGTGAAAATGCAAAATGTATGCTTATAATATTTGCTGAATTGATTGGATGTTGTCAGGGTTTCATAAAAGCTTCCTCAGTTTAAAAAAAAAATTTCATGTTTTCTCCACAGATTGATCAGCCGAGTCTGGGGATGAGCAGGAAGTACTTCATGAAGGGGATCAATGACCCAGACATTGTAGCGTACCACAAGTACCAGACGGATTTGGCGATACTGCTGGGTGCTGATCCTGAAACTGCCAAAAAGGACATGAAAGACGCCCTGCTCTTCGAAATCAACATGTCAAACGTGAGTTTAATTTTTATTTACTGTACTTGGTTTTCATATTATATTCTTTACAATCGTTGATTTTTTTTAATTATGCTTAGTTAAGAGTACCCTTACGATTTTTATCTACATTCTGCGATTCTATTTTCTTGCCTTTGCGTATAGATGTCGCCTGACATTTCTTCTGCTTTTTCTCTATAAGTTGAATGTGGAGTATATTTTCTTTATTTAAGGAAGTTCGTTGTATGAGACACCGAATTATGATTACTTTCGGGTCATTTTGCAGTTTTCATTGCCGGACGAGGAGCGTAGGAACACAACGAGTTTGTACAACAAGATGACTGTGGGGGATCTTGTACAACGTTGGCCGTCCATCCCGTGGATTGATTACATCAACAAGCTCCTGGCACCCTTTCATAAAATTGACAAGACCGAGCCCGTCATCGTCGACGTGCCGTCTTACATCACCGCCTTTGAAAAGCTCATTGCTGAAACTCCTAAACGGTATATTTTATTTAATATTATTGACTTATTTTTTTACTGTGTATATACAGAACATATACGGAAAAAGGTAGTCAACCCAGGGTCGACCAAGTTTCCGAGTCATTCTTTTTTTTTTGGGGGGGGGCAAGGAATGACTTCATTTCTAAATTTCAGTGGACTTCAAATTGAGAAATAAATATACCGTACCGTTATTCCAATTTCTGCAGTAAAAATATTCCGGAGACAGTTTTAAAGTACTGCATTGATGCTTCACGTTTCAGTTTGCCAATTTTTTAAGTAAATAAATTTTATTGTCAAATAAGGTAGGCGTAATTATTCCCCGCAATATTATTTTAAATATTATTAGGTATTTACAGTATTTGAAGGAATATATTCCGAAGAGAAAAATTGTTTCCATATGATTTTCCCATTACCGTACTTCAACGGTCACCTCGTTCTTATGGAAAAAAATATGCTGTATTTTATTTTAATACGCAAACCTTTTTTCGTGTCTCGGAGAGCAATTTTCAAATTCGACGAGTAGTTTAATAATTGTGATCCTAATGTTTCTTTTGAATATTTTGGCGTTATCGCGAGATTTCATGCTCCGCTGTACTTTCAAAGATGTATTGGCCGCGAAATTGGGATGGTAATCACGGTATTTTTTGATTTATGCAGTAAAGGAAATGGTGAACATTTTCTTATGGAACCTTTATTTTTATAATTGCAGGGTAATCGCCAATTATGTAATGTGGCGAATTGCAGCGGCATCTGCGGGTTATTTGACTGAGAATGCGAGAGATATTCAGCTGGAATTTTCTGCCAAGTTGACTGGACGGTCAGAGCAACAAGCCCGATGGAAGGAATGCATGGGTGTCGTCTTGGGCAGGTCAGTCCATTTTATTTTAAATTTTTTGAATCAATTTTTAATAAATCTTTCACCATAAAAGCTGAACTTATTTTTGCAAAAGCGGTGAACGTATCAACGTTGGCCGATTCTCGAAAGATATAATGCATTTACGAATTGAACTCACTGACTTAATATTGAATATTACGCAATTCATTCGCAATATTGTATAGGTTTGTACGTAATGTCTCGAGACTTATGCAGACTTCAATTTGAAGTACAGGCTGTGAGACAAACTTTTATCTTTGATACTGCACAGTGTACAGTTCATGAAAAATTGAAGAAAAAAAATCAACGAGATTTTTAAATTGGCCTTTCTGTGAAACAATTTTTATCTATGATTCCAAAGGTAAACAAACGCAATTTTCCTGTTTTTTTTTTTATTTGAGTGGAAATTTCGTGTCAAGCAGTTACCAACTTTTTTGCGCTCTGTACAGTTTTATTTCAGCTGAACCTGCTCTTTCAAATTACATCTTCGTCCTTGCTATACATTCTTTTTCCAAAGTTTATGGAAAATTCTGAATATTTCAATATTTAATTAAATTATGAAATAAAAATTGTGGATATTAAAAATTAAAAATTCTGGAAAATTCTGAATATTTCAAATTTTAATTAAATTATGACTTGATGCATTTTTTGTTTGCAGTTATTCAAATGCCATCGGTTCCATGTACGTTCGCCGGTATTTTGACGAGTCTGCAAAACACGCGGCATTGGAGATGGTGCAGGACATCAGAGAGGAATTCGATGATATTTTGGACGAGATCGACTGGATGGACTCCAAGACCAGGTTAATTCTCAATTTTTTTTTTCAAGTACAATATAAATTTACTAGTTTCTGACGCAATAATTCTCCTCATACATCGTGTGTTGTTTATGTGAGGTCGGTCCTAACTTTAAAAGCGGTCCTAACTTTAAGAGCCTTCGTTCACTTTTGAGGGACTGGGGGAATGCGTACTGTATTAGATTAGCATATATGATTTGCTACTTATTTGATGAATATATGTTGCTCACAAAAAATAAATAAAGGTTGCGAGCCAAGGAGAAGTCGACGCGGATCGTGTCCCACATTGCATATCCGAGCGAGTTGTTGGAAGACAAGAAGCTGGTCGATTTGTACGACGGGGTGAGTTTTTCTTTTTTTTTTCTTCGAATGAAACAATTGAGCGCTTGATGGAAAGAGCGTGACTTTAAATTTCTTCATTAAAAAATTACTTTTCTGGTTGCAGTTGAACATGAAAGAAGAGTTCTATTATAAGAACATGCTGGACCTGACTGTGTTTGGCACGGATTATTCTTTCAAGCGGCTGCGAGAGTTTGTCAACAAGACAGACTGGATTAGTCATGGAAAAGCTGCGGTGGTCAATGCTTTCTACAGTCCCTTGGAAAATAGCATCCGTACGTTATCTTTTTTTTT